TTTTCAAAGAGCTTTACAAAAGCTTCCAACAACAATTCATCAAGAAAAGTTACCCAGTCAAATGCTTAATAGTAATAGATTGTTCAGTGAATAAATTTGCTTATTTATTATTTTTTGAAGGTTTCTTCTACTAATTATTATTAATAATTTATACCATCACTAGATTCACAAACGTTGGTTTATGGCTTTGGTTATGAAGACAATTATTTTTTATCAACATTTTGAACCCTGAAATTACTTTGTGTCGCAATGTTAGAAGAAATAAAGAATATATATATTAATATAGAAAACTAGACAGATAAATAAATAAAACGAAATGAATGAATGTTTAATAATTCTGTATTACACGATATAAAAAAATTTACTATAAATATTGTTTCATACAAATAATAGCATAGTGGAAATTTGTTGTCACACGAAATGTTATACAGAACCGATTCAAAATCTGGTTTATCACTTACTTTTTATTGTAAAGCTACGTTGCACAATATAAACAATTAGTGTAACATTTCCATGTTGCAGGGAAAATAAACGCACATTTAATTTTTTCCAAATACAGTAAAATTTAAAACTTTAAATTAAATACGAACAGAGTTAAAACACACCCCTTTATTTTTGCAAATGTAACGTAAATCACATTGTGAAAATCATTTCCAAGTCTTTGGGCTTTTAGGAAAATAACTACATTATGATTCCCACGATTAGTTTTAAATCTACCAATTTGTTAGTTATAAAAATAGTATCAAACGAAAGCTTCTATCGCTTATTACACTTGGATTCTTCATTCTCATTTAATTATTTATAATAAAAATTTTTAATTGTCGCCTATTTTTGATAAGTTATATAAACTACTCTCATACCAATTTTTGGTAATCGTGAAGGAAGAACTTGAATTTGTCTTATTAATAAGTCGGAATCTTCCAAAAATAGACTTTTGAGAAAAAAAAAGGGGGATTTGCTATTGTGTTTAAGAACAATATCTCGAAATATCACCATGCAAAGTGGGTAAAGTTTTCAGTACTTCTATATGCAATTCTTCATTTTAGCTCAAAATTGCCTTTTTGGGAGTATTATTCGTTCTATTGAAGGTCCCATATATATCTTTTATGTTATTGTCATTTATTATTATATCGTTTTTTATTTATTTGTACTTGAGGAACTTTTAATTTTAAATAAATTAAACTCATATTTACGGCCGGCGCTCGATATAGTGGAATTTTAGCTAGTACAATTTTAGAAACTATCTGGATAAATTATCCAATCAATTTTTCTGAAGACAATCTCTAAATTTGTACTAGTTAAACTTCACTATATCGAGCGTCTTTAATTAAGATAAAAATAAAAATAATTTTATCTTT